CCAGTGTTACATTTGAGGACTCTTGTTTAACTAAGAGACCCTATGTTATTAACTTCTTCCAGAGGTCTAGCAACATCTCGATGATTTAAAGAAGTATTGATGAGCATTAGGGATGACCCGCAAGTATTTGACAAATGAATGGACTCCAGTATTTTTTTTTTATCATTTGTTTTCTTTTTTTAATTTTTTTTATTGTGAAAATACTATACAGAGGGGTTACAATTACATGGGCAAGATAATGAGTACATTTCTTATCAAGCATTGTAGCCTCCTCCTTTGTTTCCCCTTCCCATCCCTTCCCATCCTCCCCATCCCCCCCCCCAATCCTCCCCCCCCCACCAAAGTTGTAAAGTTTGTTTTTAACATAATGACTTGTACATCTCATTATTGCAATCGGACTCCAGTATTTTTGACAGTAGTATTCTCCCAGTGAAAAGAACCAAGTACTAAATTGTGATAGACTTTAAACCACTTGAAATTGGCACTATCATTGTTATTATAGTAAATATTTTATTAATAGCTTCATTTAAGACTTTTTAATAATTTGAAAAGTTCTGCTGGGATCACTTGGTAAACCTGAGCTGTCGTCAACACAAAGCTTTCTATTTGATCTTAATTCCTACTATTAACTCTCATATCACACACTACAATTTTGCAATACTAGAAAGGTTAGAGAATGCTAACAAAGGCTTAAAGAGGCCTTAGTTCTAAGAGGCCTTGCTGAAGGCAAGAGCAGGTTGCTGATACAAAAGCAGAGAGTCACTGAAAGCAAGGGGATAAGTTACTGGTACAGAGATCTCAGATAAGATGAGAAACCACAATCTAAGTCTCAGGGATTCAAGGCTCACCTATTGTAAAACAGAAAGCTGTTCTTAGACATAAGGAATACAATCCTTGTATATGTCCTAAATACATTGCAGGTACATAGATGATTCCAGGCTTGCTGGGCCCCTGAGGAACTGGGGAATGGAGGTACTGAGGAACAATAATTGAATGGATCACATCAAGCAGGAAGACTAAGCTAATCTGTAGCCCCAGGGATAGAATACAAAACCACCTGTCAATCCCTGAAGCATATACCCAGTGGTCTGTGACTGGTCAGTGTCTTCTGTTATAACCCAGTATTAGGCATCCTTTTTTCTTGAATGGTTTATATCTATTTTAGATAACCCCTTGAAGATGGTTAAAATGTCCTCTCCTTTGGAAAAAAATCTGGCAACTCTGAGTTTTCTCTCTGGAGAGAGACAGCAAGATGGGAAGGTTAACTGGGAAAAAAAGAAGTCCAGAAACTCATGTTCTGTTCTTAGGTTTGGGGTAGACTCAAAAATGTCTCCATGTTTTAAAATAATAAGCAGCATCTATCTTGGCCTCCCAGAACCATTGCCTAATGGTTAGGGCTTGCTAGACAACATGTCCATGCATATTCTCCAGCTCAGGAAAATGTAAGGCAGCAGATAATAACTGTCATTTTGACTCTTTAACCCTCATTTCCTGCATTTCACATTTCTGTCTTTTTATATTCCTGTATCTTAACTCTATTACACTAAAATTAATCCTTGCTAAACCTTTAACTTGGTAATATTTTGCTTTTTTTTTTTTGAGACACCCTGAAATTCTTTACATGAATGGATCTCAAAGACCCGTGAGTTTTCATGGAAATGAGAAGCTGAGGTCCTGGTGACAAATGTATAGGTGGTACTCTATGATTCTAGGTGGGACTTTACAATAAAGGATTGGTCTATCCATGGCTAGTGCTGGAGGAGGGGTGGTTGTTTACTTGCACAAGCAAGATGTAGAATCATTCTGGAAGCAAGATTTTAGACCATAGGTCCAAAGTCCAAAAGTCCCATACTAGGTCCAGCCACTCACCCCTCTAGGCATAGTTAAAGCCAGTAAAAGATTTATTACATGGGAACTATGGGAAGACAGCCCTTCAGTACGTTTTCAGCCATCATTAAGATTCAAACATTGACTTCAAGTTTAACAGGTAGAATGAAAACTATATGATAGTTAAAACAGTCCCAAGTCACCAGTGTGACCTGGTTGATCATTAGTTCAATCTTTGCTTTTAAAGGAGTTCTGGAGAAATTGTTACCACTTTACCACTGGGACAAGTTAACAGAAGTGATCTGAGTTTTTGGCAGTTTCTTTTAAAATTATAAGAAGAAAGTTTTGCCTGCTAGAGAGGTAGTTTACCTTCCACATAAGATACTTATCAGTGAATCTCCTCTTTCCCGGAGCCCAAGGTAATTGTATGAGAAACATACTCATCTGTCCTGACTCAAACGCAAACTCTTAAGAGATAAGAAGTACATTAAAAGTGAGACTGGGCTGGGAAGGTGGCTCAGTGGTAGAATGCTTGCCTTGCATGCATGAGGCCCTGTGTTCAATTCCTCAGCACCACATAAGCACAAAAAGCTGCAAGTGGCGCTGTGGCTCAAGTGGTAAAGTGCTAACCTTAAGCTGAAGAGCTGAGGGACAGTGTCCAGGCCCTACAACCACCACCACCACCACCATCACCACCACCACCAACAAGACTCTAAGGTGGTCTTGAAAGACCAGGTGTCTCATAGGCAGGCCTACTTTTACTGATTACAAGCAATTTTATACATAGGGTGTGGAGATCCCTCCCCCAAGTTCTCATTGGTCATAGCACTATGGGATTTACATTCTTTCTCAGATGCTGTTGCCTAAGTTACATTGCTTGCTAATGGGATAACTCGAATGCATGCATCTCTTGACATTGGTTGAATATTTGAAGTATGCTTTTGTCAATCTGTACCCCACTTTGTTCTTTTGTGCCAAGAAGGCTTTCCTGGGTATATGTTTTCTAGCAATCACACAGTTTCTACTCATTTTCTCATTTTATTGCTGTTCATTCTTCCCCCTTGCTGATTGTCCTGTTTAACCTACAGCTTTCCAATACATGAACTTTATCATGTCTGAAAATCATCTTTCAAGCAAGCTACTGGTAATTTTCTACTCTGGGTCAAATACCTTGTCTTGAAAATGGACCCTCACTGAATGTTTCTAACAATTGTAAAGTGACTGCAACAGAGAAAAATTCAGATCAAAGGGCACAGATAGCAAGTTGGGGAACTTTTTAGTTAATTCACAGGACCCAGCAAAAGCATCTTTTAACTTGCCTGTTAGAATTCTGCCTCAGCATTTGCACTCAGAAGTAAACCGTAGTTGCATAGAATGGAGTCACTTAGGGCAAAACACAGCCTTGCATATGTAGGATATTTTCCAATTCTGTTGCTGTGGGTTTTCCCCAAGAATATAACCGTAAGCATTCTTCCCCAAGAAGAACATGATTTCTGATTGTCTCACTTTTATGAAGTTAGTATTACTGAGGGTCATGACCTATAGATCTAGTAATGTATTAGTCACTGCAAAGTGTATCATTCCAATACTATCACTTTTTAATTTCTTAGCTGGAATACTTCTCTGACTCTTCAGTTAAGTCAACATCGAGTATCCATTTACTTAAATGAATGCTGTTATCTCAGCTGGAATTTTTAAACTCTTAATTTTAAATTCAAGAGAGGAGATTGAAGCTCAAAGCTAATCATCAATCCTGTCTTCCCTAGAGCCATAAACCTTAACCCTAAAGTCTAACCTTAATTGAACAAAAAAGCTGCTGGAAGGAAATGAGATAACAAATGATTGAGTAGGGAAAATAACCTAGGTGAAATTCTAAAACATTTTCCCACATATCTACATTCAGTTTAAAGGTATATAAGAGATGTATTCTGGGTTTGAAAATCTCAGTGTCTCCATGGTAGTGCTGGCTTCACTGTAGCCAAAGGTCAGAAATACTCATGTATTAATCAGAGAACATTTATTAATAATACAAATGCTAGTATGGCATCTCTATTGACTGCAGAACATCTTTTTCCATTGTCTTCACCTCTCCATTTATCTGATATTTGATTAGAAGCACAGAATTGGGCTTCACTATCAAGGTGAAGTATGTGTTAGGGCTAGGCTCATCAGCAGTACTGATCAGTGTGTGAGTCCTCTGGAACTCATGTGTGGTTTTCTCTGGGCATCTTCCTGTCCTTTCTTAGCTGCTAAAGCATCTCATCTGTGGAAGAAACAGCCTGTCCTGCTTTGATCTTGTTTGGTCAGCAGGAGGCTCCCAAGGGAAGAACTGGAGAGGCTAGGGGCTGGCAGCTGGAGAACCTAATGCTGCTAGAGCCACTTCAACTTTTGTTTTGCCAACAGCCCTAAGAATCACTGTACCACTTACAGAAGAGATGCCAGGAGATAGAAGACAGCTAATGTATGCTGGATTCAAATATGTGAGACTCCGCTCTAGTGGCTTGGCCAGAGTTCAGAGCTGTCCGAGCCAGGAGCTCCACCAGAAAAGCTCTCAGGCTCTCTGCTTTTGGGGAGAGGACCATAGAACAGCAGTTTCAATGCCAGAGACACTCAGACTCAAAGTCTGATAAAGGATGGTTTTACCAATGTGTGGGGAAGTATCTAAGTAAGTTACATTTATTTGAATCATAACCTTGATTATATGAACAGAATTAAGAAGTGGGAATCACAACAGAAAATCCATTTGAACAGCACTCACTCAGAAAAGCAGCCTGTCACAACCCTAATTGGCAAAAGAAGTCTACATGTACTTAGGACTCTGCTTGTTTATTTAAAGACTCAGGTAGAACAACCAATTGCTTACAACCACCATCTCACACTGTTCTTGCTGGGTGTGTGAGTGTACACGTGGTCCCAAATCTTGTTGTTTTGTTTTTTTTTTCCCCTGAATGTGATTGTGATTTGGATGATATCCGAGTAGAGTTGCCTTTTTTATTTATTATCATTATATATTTTATTATATTATATATTTTTTGCTTTCTTACAATGTTAGAGAAGTCAAATCTTGGTATTGTTAAAATTGTTTAAAAAAAGAAGTGGTCCAGTGGATAAATGAAAATCTCTGGTTGGTCTTGAGTGAATTTTTCCTTGATTACTGTAGAATAATGTGCCAGCCACTGCTGTCAGAGCAGTGATTTTGTATGTACGATAGGAAGCAGGGATGCTTTCAATGGGAAGACGTGCAACACAGCAAGGGGAACTCCACGGATTTTTTTTTCTACTTCAGCAATGGAACTGCAACTTGGAGCTTTTGTGAAAATTAGCTGCCTTGTATAGTCCTCTGAAAGAGAGAGACCTGATCTGTGAGGGAATTGAAGTTTTTTCTAGAGGAAAAAGATATTTGCAAAAGATATTTCCAAAGATAAATGTGCCACAAATCTTTTGTTTGTTCTCTGTAAGGAGGAGTAAATGCTGTTTTTAAAAAGTGTAATTGTTCATCTTCAAATTCTTTCCTTTTCACAAGAGGATCGAGCTGTAAAAAATAAATAAAAATTTATAGTAGAGTTTGAAATTTGGTATTGATATTCCTCCAGCAGTGTTCTTTCCATTGTGGAGCGTTTTTGCTATTCGGGGTCTTTTATTGTTCCATATGAATTTTTGGATTGCCTCTTCTATTTCCTTGAAGAATGAGGGTGGAATTTTGATAGGTATTGCGTTGAATTTGTAGATAGCCTTGGGAAGTATTGCCATTTTCACGATGTTAATCTTTCCAATCCAGGAGCATGGGAGGTTTTGCCATTTTTTAAGTTCTGTGTTGATTCCTTTTTCAAGATTTTAAAGTTTTCATCATAGAGGTCCTTCACTTCTTTAGTTAAGTTAATTCCTAGGTATTTTATTTTTTGTGGGGCTATTACAAATGGAGTTGCTTTCCTAATTTCAGCCACACTTTTCTCATTGTTGGCATACAGAAAAGCCATTGATTTTTGGGGGTTAATTTTATAACCTGCTACTTTGCCAAAGTTTTGAATCAGCTTGAGTAATTTGGGAGTGGAGTCTATGGGACTCTTTAAATACAAGATCATGTCATCTGCAAAGAGGGAGAGTTTTATTGGCTCAGGCTGAAATTTTTTGAATAGAGACCCGGAAACACAACAAATCAAAGAAAGGTTGGACAAATGGGATTGCATAAAGTTGCAGAGCTTCTGCAGGGCAAATGACATAGCTAGCAAGATCAATAGAAAGCCCACGGATTGGGAGAAGATCTTTACTAGCCATACAACGGACAAGGGTCTCATATCTAAAATATACTTGGAACTCAAAAAATTAAACCCCCCAACAACAAATCCTCAAAGAAACAACTGCCCAATAAATAAGTGGGCGAAAGACTTAAAGAGAAACTTCTCTGAAGAAGAAAGAAGGATGGCCAATAGACACATGAAGAAATGTTCAACATCCCTAGCCATAAAAGAAATGCAAATCAAAACAACGTTGAGATATCACCTCACCCATTAGAACGGCAAAAATCAAGAACTCTAACAACAACAGATGCTGGAGGGGATGTGGACAGAAAGGAACCTTACTTCATTGTTGGTGGGAATGTAAACTTGTTGAACCACTTTGGAAAGCAGTATTGAGCTTCCTCAAAAGACTTCACATAGAACTCCCCTATGACCCAGCAATCCCACTTTTGGGCATTTACCCAAATGTTTACAAACAAGACCACACTAAAGTTACCAGCACAACTATGTTTATTGCAGCATTATTTACCATAGCTAAGATATGGAACCAACCCAGATGCCCCTCAGTAGATGAATGGATCAAGAAAATGTGGCATATATACACAATGGAATTCTATGCCTCCATCAGAAAGAATGACATTTCCCCATTTGTTAGGAAATGGAAAAGCTTGGAAAAAATTATATTAAGTGAAGTAAGCCAGGCCCAAAGAAACATAGGTCCCATGGTTTCCCTTATTTGCAGTATCTAGTATATGTATGAGTCAAGCGGAAATGGTCAGATAATGTGATGTTAGGAAAACGAACCCTTAAATATGTATCTTAATGTTTTTTTTTCTTTCATGCATGTGTTTCTAACGCAGTTATAAGATTATTTCTTTGTTGCTTTGTATGTCCCTCCCCCACAGTGTAACCCCCGCTTTCACTATATTTGATGTCAGTATAACTTGTGGAGGAGATGGGGACAAACAAGTCGTTTAAGGATTCAGGTGGGCCTGTTGCAACAATGAGAAGTACAAAATGTCATGTCAAAAACGAGCTTTACAATGTCGGTGTGGGGGGGGGAGGAGGGGAAGGACTGGGTGGGGGGAGGGGGGAGGCTGGGAAGGGAGGTGAAGGGTAAACAAAGGAGGAGGCTGCAATGCTTGGTAAGAAATATATGCATTATCCTGCCCATGTAATTGTAACCCCTCTGTACAGTATGTTCTCAAATAAAATAAAATAAAAAATAAATAAATAAAAATTTAGAGAAATAAAAAAAAAATACTTCTTCTTGCCACAGGCTCCTCAATGAGTCATCCTGGCGATTCCAATGTCTCCATGATCTTTGTTGACCCTGATGCATCAATTGGAGGCCGGTGACAATAGAAGGGTCTTGTATCGACACATCTAATCCCCATGAGCAAGCACAGCCTTGATGTCCTTCATATGCACTTTGTTTCATGACTGTTCTTAATAATTCTATTCCCTTAGAAAAATGGTTAAATTTGGAGAGTCTAATGTGGGTTGGCATTTGTAAAATGTCTTTTCCAAACTGAAGTAGATATAAGAACTTTCATGGGGACAAAAGAAAATCCATAACCTGGTGCTCAGCAATAGTACCTTTCCTCCTCTTCCCACCATGGATAAAATGTACCTATCCCCTATTTCTTCTTCTTATCACAAGAGAAACATGAAGTAACAGGTGCAGGATGGCACCATGTGTCTCCAAGGACAAAGTGGCCACTGATCTGTATTTTACATGGGAATATCTCTTATTCCATAAGGAAGATATTTGTAGCTGGGATCCTAGGCCTAGGCCAACTCTGGAGGACTCCAACATGTCAACCCCAGCCACTCCCACGGTATGCCAGATAGAGATAAATAGTAGTGAAGGGTAGAGTCACAGGAAAAGGGGGAGTGAACATCACAGCTACCTTTGGGGTCCAAGACTAGAGGGCAAAGAGTGAAAAATGAAAGATCCCACACACCCATCCCAAGGAACCACGCAGAGGCAGAAAGGCACAGGAGAAAGATTATTACAAGGTTTAGTAGAGGAGCCATATTTCCCCCCAAGAGGGAGCACATGGCATCCCTCACCATCCAGGTAGCAGGAGGGGTCTGAGGGTTGAAAGTGAGGTAGATGGGAGTCCAGGTGGATCTGGACAGAGAGAGAGAGGGGCCAGCTGTATGGTGGGAACTCCTGGGATGGGAGGGGCTCAGGTCTGAGGACCAAAGTTGAGCATAATACTAACAAAAAGTACGCATAATATTAAACAGTCTCAGTCACTAAAGTTGGTCTGGTGGTCAGGGTATGGTCTGGATGCCACTGTCTCAGGATTGGTCCGAGGGGGCCTTGTGACAAATTAGAAGGTCATTTTTTGCATATGGGGTGGGTAGTTTTGGTTATTCTCACAAGATATGTATCCATTATCCTTGTTCTAGAATCCAAGGTGTCAGCACAAGACATTGGCATGAGTAAAGGAGACAGATGTAAAAGGAGGCAGACAGTTGCAGGTCCAAGCGGAAACTCAGTGCTTTTACTAAGACTACTTTATACGTATCTAGTGTATTTTCTTCAAAATTCCATCCTCATAACTGACAACACTACCAGACACCAGATCATTCCTGTGACCCACAACACACTGTCTGTTCTTTTCTCTGCCAGTGATCAACCCTAATCTCTTGAAACTAGTGTTATCCCCTTAATTCCCCAACTTGTTTTTCCTTAAAATTAAGACGTTTGTCTAAAAATCTATTCGGTACATCTCTGATATTATTTCCATAATCACTGGGATGAAAGTTCCCTCAAGTCCAATATCAAAACTCAGAAAGCCACAACTACTGTTATTTAGTTGAAGGAGTATGATTTACCTAGTCATTTCCCACATATTTTTGTGAAAATACTGTACAGAGGGGTTACAATTACATGAGCAAGGTAATGAGTATTTCTTATCAAGCATTGTTGCATTGTTATCTTCTCTGTTTCTCCTTCCCACCTCTTCCCATCTCTACCCGCCTCCCCTCCCACCAAAGTTGTAAAATTCGTTTTTTTGACATAACGTCTTGCACATCTCATTGTTGCAATGGGTCCACGGTATCCCTATTTAAACAATTTTTTTTTCCTTCCCCGCTACAAATTATACCAACATCAAATACAGTGAAAGCAGGGGTTATACTGTGGGGGTGGGACATACAAAGCAACAAAAAAATCATCTTATAAATATGTTAGAAACAATAGCAAGAAAGAAAAACCACTTGAGTCCTTATCTTGGGGTTCATTTCACCTAACATCAACTTATCTGACCGTTTCTGCTTGTCTCAGGCATATACTAGTTATTGCAAATAAGGGAAACCATGTGACCTATGCTTCTTTGGGCCTGATTTACTTCACTTAATATAAATTTTTCCAAGTCTTTCTATTTCCTAACAAATGGGGCAATGTCATTCTTTCTGGTGGAGGCATAGAATTCCATTGTGTATATATACCACATTTTCTTGATCCATTCACCTACAGAGGGGCATCTGGGTTGGTTCCATATCTTAGCTATGGTAAATAATGCTGCAATAAACATAGTTGTGTTGGTAGCTTTAGTATGGTCTTGTTTGTGATCATTTGGGTAAATGCCCACAAGTGGGATTGCTGGGCCATAGCGGAGCTTTATATGGAGTCTTTTTAGGAGAGAACTCTTGAGTTTTTCTCAGACAGTATAAACTATAGAATCTGAAGACTGGTAATTTGTAAATTATGATTTCTGTGTGGTTGAGGGATTCTCAATTCTAGTACTGAACACAATGATTTTCTTCTTTAAGTTCATAGCCTTAATTAAGTCTACAGAATGCATTTTTATTTTGTTTCATTCTGTTAGTACAGGGGATAGAACCCATGGCTTTGCACATGTTAACAGTGCCCTATCTAACCTATACCATTGATCCTAAAGTATAATGATAATCATAATTATTATATGATTATAGCACATCATCATCATTATTACCATTGTTATTGCAGCACTGGGGTTGGAAATTAGGGCATTATCCTTGATAAGCAGGAATTATCCTACTTGAGTCATGCAGCCAGCCCTAGAATTGCACTCATGTAAA